AATCACTCTGTGCATTTCTTCATGCTTCGTCTCCACGTCATCTGCTGGCCTCCACGTGGTTTTCTCCAGCCTGTAACAACCACTGCAAATAAGACGCACTGCGGTAGGCGACCGTCGGACATACGTAAAACGTGTCCTAACCAACGGAGCCTACTGAACTGGATTCAATGAGATAGCGAGTCTGATGTATTCCCAAACACTCGACGACTTACCTCTAAGTTACTAACCAATTAGTGTTTTCTCCAGTATTTCGTCTACGACGAAATTGAACAGGAATGGCGAAAGAGGGCACTCTTGACGAACACCGCTGTTAGTTACGAACGACCTGCTCATCTCGCCGTAGGCCCTTACGTTACCAGAAGTGTGTGAGTAGAGTGAACTCAGTATATTCACATACTTCTGCGGCATTCCTTTGCGAAGGAGTGGACCTATAAGGGATTCACGATCAACTGAGTCGAAGGCTCCTTTTAGGTCAAGGAACACGACAACTGTTGGTCGACGGNGCGTATGGCGTAGCTCGAGGACTTGGTGCAAACTGAAGATTCGATCGACACAACCGCGACCTGGTCGAAATCCTGCTTGTTGTTCGCGGATGTTTGTCTGCCTAAACAGTGTCAGACGTCAAAGTATAATGGAGGCTAGTAAGTTGGTGACGACTGGGATCAAACTTATTCCACGGTGGTTTGCGCAGTCATTGCGAGATCCCTTCTTAAAAATTGGAAAGATCAGTGATTCGCTCCAGGATGATGGAATGCGCTCCTGTAACCAGATGTTACGCATTAAGTCAGTAATGTAGTCTACAAGGTCATAGCCCCCTCCCCCCCCCCATCCTGAAAACAGTGGGGGGAAGCCCGTCTGGCCCTGCTGCTTTTCCTTTATTCAGGGCTTGGATGCAAGAACGAACTTCTCCTGCAGTAGGAGGTTCAGATGACACTGCCCATGGAGTCTCAGCTACATCAGAGAAGATAGCCCGGTTAGCGCCTGATCAGCTGAACTGTTCGTTGAAGTACTCCGCCCACCGGTCAAGCCTTTGTTCCCTACTGTGAATAGCTTGCCCGCTTTTGTCGCAGATTGTTTCATTAACTGTGGTTCGCCGACCTCCCGTATTGCGTATCAGTTGGAACAGTCTCTGACTATTCCCTGATGCAGCTGCTACTTCCATTTCACTAGCTATCGTTGACCACCAGTTATCACGGTCTTTCTTGAGGCTCCTCGTGAAATGACGTTGTAGACGCCACCTAATCCTACTTTGATCCCGGGTAATTGGGATTTGCCGCTTTTTCCTCATCAGTGCTACTGATTGATCAGATATCCAATGCCTCGGGCGGGCTACTGCTTCAGATCCACAAGCAACGTTCGCTGTGGAGTGCATTGTTAGGCTAATCTGATCCCATTGTTCATTTACAATACCACCCCGCAGTGCATTTAGCTCTTGCCTTAGTTCTGATTCAAAACGGGCACGAACGGCTGGGTCAGATAAGCGATGATCTGCCAATCGATTTGGTGGAATTTTCTGCGACCAATAAGTTGCAGAGTGAACTCGATCAAGACTAACGCATGATCAGATTCAACCCAGGTGGTCCAGTAGGACCTGCAGTTTTGTACTGAGCCACGCCAACGGTAAATTACTGCTATATCGTCAACCTGAGTTAGCGTGCCAGTTGAATTTGAGCACCACGTTGCTGTCCGTTGAGAGCTGTGTCGGAAGTTGGTACTGGATAGGAACAGATGATGATCTGCGCAGAACTGAAGAAGTCGATCCCATTATCTGTTCGCTGGCAGGGCAGAGCACAATGACCGCCTAGACAAGCTTCCGATGCGCTCAGTTTTCCAACTTGAGCGTTAAAATCACCTGAGAGAACAACTATATCGGAGCTTCGACTCAACCGAATGATTTCGGTGAGTTTATCATAAAACTCGTCCTTTTATGCGTCAGAACTGCAATTGGTCGGAGTATACGCTGAAACGATGAACACCTTCTGGTGTTGCTTCCCTTCCGGACGCTGATAGACCCTTGGAGCCACATCGCACATAAGCGGCTGTTGACAGGTATCCAACCGAGTAGTGCGGCTTTGGTTGTATTATTCAGTAAAATGCCCACACCACGCTGGTCTACTGAACGGGCTTCGTCATCACCTGACGTGCGGAGGAAGAACCTCGAAGACAACCCCGGTGCACTTAAGTGGTATATAGTAGTAGGATCCTGAATTCGAGTCTCTGACACGCAGTAGACATCCATTCCTAAAGAGTGCATTGTACGCGCCAGGCATGCTTGTTGATCTACCTGCATCAGAGTCCTCACGTTGAAGGCCCCCAGATTCAATGGCTGACACTCTTTATTCACATAGACTCAGGTTGCGAGAAGAAAAAACTCTTTATTCTCGCAAACTGAGTCTATGTGAACTATCTATCTTCCGCTTGAGTTTACTCTCAACATTCAAATCTTCATTCCACTCTTTTGTTCAAATGGGTAGCCAAAAGACAGCAACCAAACCCGGCGCACGAAAGTGCAGGGTAATGGTTGTAAAAACTGAACAACATACATAGGAAGTCAGTTGTCGAATGCATAGACTGCGTTCGTTTCTCATCGCTACCATTTCACTTACACGTATCCAAAGTTCGGCAGGAGCTTTTGATTAAACGCAACTCTATCCGTGCAAACTGAGTGCAAGCTTATAGTATATTAAATAAATACGATAAGCACCACAACGTGCCCACAAAAGAAAATTCATCAATGGACAAAACACGCCCAAATATATGGGAACAAGTTAACAGAACTCACTTTCGGATTGGCCACACGCCCGATGAAGCGCTGTCCAAATCGAAGCATACTGAACGCCTCAAAGCCACCGGTTAGATCTAAACGGATACGAACCAGAGGTTCTGCAGGTGTGACAAAACGGATTTCTGATTCCGCTTTATTACCGTCCCCGTGCGTCTCAGAAGCGATACTCGAGTCATGATCTGACTTCTCAGAGGATTTTTCAGTCGCTCGTCGAATACACGATTCGACCAGTCGTACACATGTAGCTTCGACCTGCTTCGCCAAATCTAAGGCATTCGCACTAGCCTTGGGTATTTCATCCTCTAATGCGATATCTTCAAATATCAAAGGACGAACTGTTTTCAAAGGGAGTCGAGTGACCTGGAGTGGTTAAGAATTAGTTAAAGAAATTACAAACGTTAACTTAGAGAATATCGCCTTTAATTTAAATAGTAGCAGAGACTAGTCATTAAAATGTTCGGTAAGAAAGATCAGAATCTTAGATATCTTTCTACCAACACAAAAATTGTGTTTCTTGTAGTATTTAGCCTTCAGTTGTGGTTTTTCACTCAGGGCTTCCTAGCTTGAGTAGCGATTCTCTTACTGGTTAGCAATAGGTATAATAAACTGGCTAGATATGGAACAATGGGGTTAGGATATGTGGTAGCGCAGGTTTTCAGTTGAGGCTTGTTCTGCTCTGTGGTCTTTGAGACGTTTGTTAGGATCATTTCCCACCGTCGGTCGTCGGCCGCTTCCAAAACACTCTTCTCAATGAGGAAGTACGGTTTGGCCGTTCGGACCTAATGCTAATCAGTAAAAGAATCGATACCCACGCTAAGAAGCCATCAGTGAAAGTTGAAAAACCACGAATGAAGGCTAAATTACCACCGGAAACGCTGTAAAAGCTTGCAACGTGGAAAGTATCCCCAGTTTTGTCAATTCGTCTGCTAAACAGTGGTTTCGAACGACTTATCACGAACACAAAACCCACGAAGCAGTGTTACTATCCACCCAGTCGTGAGCGGTATGGTGCTGCTTGTGCAATAAAGGCATTAGCTATGTATAGCACACTATAGATTTGTCATTTGGAAGCTTTCTGATCACTCATTGATTTATGTTTTATGAACTTCAGCAAATTTAGGATCGGACGAAATTAATGAGGCCCCAGTTTATCATGCACAACTGACACACCATTATTTCACTCTTCCATTGAGTCACGAGGGAAATCCACCAGAATGGGAGGATCAAGATACAGTAAACGATTTCCATTCCCGATAGTTATTCTCTTCCACTATGGGTTTCAGTCCTATGGATGGATGATGCAATCCTCTTGACCGTTCAGACCTGGCATTTGCTGATTATTTCTGTCGCGTCAGCCAGTCTATAACTGAATCTTGCCCCACGAGACGTCCCCTAACGATTCTATTCAAAAGAAAATTGCAAAACAGTGCGAGTAGCCACGAGAAGCACCAGAAAAGTGCGTCTAATAATGGAGAAGCGTGCTTTGTTCATAGAGTTGCGCACAACCTTAATTTTTCTTGACTGTAAAATACGAAATCACAGGAGTGGATGAACCAATCAGATCGCAGTATTCTATATATTACCTTGTATTTCACTAATCCAATAACATCGAGAAAACACCGGCAATTTCTCATAGAGGCGAGTGGTCCAAATACAGTTTCCATTGATTCTGTGGAGATTCTCAGGGAAAGTTAGGATTCCCCTGACAATTTCACATCCAGACAAGTCACTCCACCCACTACACCTCTGGGACGAATTCTACAACCATTCCATTATCAAAACTGACAATATCAACACTGTATCACAAAAGACCACGAAAAGATAATCATTATTGAGCGGGGCGACAACAAAGCTGCATGTGCCTAAAACCCAAGATAAACGTAATCGAAATAGCTGTTTATGTCATCAAACGGAAAATTTCGAATAAAGATAGATTTGGTCAACTTGGCTCGTTCTGGGTTCAGCATACTGCAAATCCCATTGGAGAGATCTCCACATTCCCGTGTAAATCGTACCGATTTGCACAACGGAACTGACGGTCTCTTCAACTACCGTTCAGTGCACTCAAATGAATAATAGAAAAACAACTTCCGAGCTTTTCAGTTCACGCTTCATTTGCTATATACACGACGAATTGTCATTTGAAAAAAAAAACAACTAAGTCAAAACTTGAAGTAATCAGTCCCGTTGAAACATGACTGTTTCGAAATGAGTGAAAACAGAAGTTTATCGGTTGTGAAAAGGGGAATATCTTCTTTGAAGGTAGGCGACCGTGAACAAACAGCAGTGGCACTACCAGTATGGCGGATTTTAGGCTATTCGCTTAGCTTTAGCATAAAATTGATGACACTAACGCTGATATAACAGATCTCTTTCAAACCTGAGTCATTGAAACCTACAGTTTACAACCCAGTGTCCACCATACCCTAGGCATTCTAAAACACAAAGAGCGCATTAACCATTTACGACCCTGAAAACCATGAGTCTACAACCCCTGCAGCTGATTCACTATTTTCGGGTAAGAATTTGGCTAGCCTAAAACTCCAGTTGCGGTCCTCGAAGATCATCTGCAACGACCTGGGTAACCTATCAGCATTGGGTCCAAAAACAAAACATGGATTATGGAACGTTGTCACCCAGTTTGGGGTGCATTCGTCAGGCATAGCCAGAATTCAAACAACTGTATACATAATTACTCACTGGATAGCAAAAATTACCTTGAATTCTTTCTCCCTAATTTCTAACAAAGCAACCGCTTTATCGCAAGCTTCACCTTCCGAAAGTGATGTGGCTACAGAACTTCCGGGTTGAATCACATAGAATTTTTGTGTAGTATTCCATTCAGCTTCGATACGGCATTCATGCTCATGACCCCAGATGACCAGGTCCAAAAAATCGGGTAGAAAATGTTCTGGCAAATAGCTAGTCGGTCCGTGTCGTACACGGTTCTGATGCACAGCACACAAGGAGAACCACTGATCCGCTTGTTCCGTGGGACGAAGGAATGTGACCATATTGTTAGCAAACAGTCGGTGTACTCGTTCCTCACGCATGGCACCCAGACCATATATGGCCAAGTGGGTGGAACCTTTGCGTAACAGCAAAGGACAAATTTCGATGTTTTCCACTGAGGCGGTTTTACCGATGAGATTGACCAATCCCGCGGAATGAAGTAAATCGGCAGCACACAGTCCGCCGGGCCCACTCGGGTCGTCGTGGTTTCCGTGTATGGTGAATGCTGGAATAGCCACATTCAAATTCGGGCTTAGATAGTTTGCCTCGTGAAACGCGGTGTTTGCAAACACAGTGTCTGGATCAGAGAGTAGTTCAAAACGAACCGGTTTTGGGCCCATACAATAGGCTCGAAACAAACGGACCGCCTCGTGAAGAGTGTACATTGAAGGTCGACTTTCGTGAAAAATGTCGCCAGCAAAAAAGATGAAATCCACATCGTTTTTCTGAGCTAAATGTAGGATTTCTTCAAATGTGCGTAAAGAATCTGGACCACGAATACTATCTCTTTCTGCGAACCCCAGGTGGTTATCCGTGGAAACGAGAATCCGGAACGTGTTTTCGGTCTCGTTTGAATCGGTCATCTTCCGACAAAATTGATAAAAGTGTGAAACGAGGCACACTCAAGATTTCATACGGGAAACAACTGAAAAGTGAGTGAGTGCAATATTAATACAAGATGATACAAGATGTATATGTAAGAAACAGTTCCAGTAAAAAAAATTAATTCATTTTAAAGAAAGAGATAATTTATCAGGAAAAGGATATGAAAAAATATAGAGAGCGCGTTGAAACGGTTCACTGAATGAGATTTCAATGACGTATTCAAAGATTCCTGCAAAAACCGCTAGCAGTGTTAAACCTGCGAAAAGTGAGTACCCCTCCAAAGTATAAATAAGTATAAGACGTTGGAAAATGGAAGTCAGATAAATAGTTTTGGGGCTCACACTGGACTTTGTTCCGTTTGTCGATCGAAAACCCGATATATATATATATATATATATATATACCAAAAATTATCCCGCACATTACTGTTCATCCTCCCGGAACCCTTAAAAGTTCTGGCGCTGATTGAACCTCCTCATAGGCTGCTGAATCCTGGAGCCATTGATACAGCGCCTCCACCGACTTCCTTGAATCAATCGAACGCCTTTATTGGATAAGTTTCAAACTCTCATCATTCATCTTGCTCCCTCGCGTTCACGTTACGTCAAAGATTGTCCGGACTATGAAACTACCATTCCACGCTGGTATGACCAGAAACCGAGAAGGTTGTTTAGCATTTATCAGTAACACACAGAACAACACATCGGTTGACGCGCTGCGGTCACGCGTTAGAGATCATATTGATCTCTGAAGTTAAAGAGTCACAGAAAATCTTGTAATACCATGAGACAAATCGCCAAACTAACCGAGACTTCCACTTCCAACCATACTGAGGCATTTAGAGGTTTCAATCATTGGTGTTTTAGTTTTATCCCGATAGTAAACTGGCGGGACAGTCTCAAAATCGGCCCTCAGAAATCGCTGCCACGTTGCTCGTTTTTCAACTCACATTCAACGCCGCCGACTACAATGGTTGGCCATGTTCCCCGCAGACCCGACGACATTTACAAGTACTGTCTTGGCACCGTCACTTTGTACTGGCTGACGCTGCCGACAAGGGG